TTATTGATATTTTATTTATTTAATTTTTAAAAAATAAATTTATTTAATTTTGTAAAAAATAAAATAAAATAAATCAGGCAGGGGTAAAACCCTCCGGATCTTCCATCTTTATGCTCATCACGTTCTGCATCACAATCAATCACAATATGCACAAAAATACACAATAGGCAAAATTCAAAATCGTTAGCATTAGCAGAGTACATTTAATGTTGCTATCAATCCTTTCGTTTGCATGCAAAATATTATGCATGATGCCTAAGTCTTTTCTAGACATCCGAAAGCTCAATGGATCCATGTGTGAGATAGCAACTCGTGCTCTGATACCACTTGTCATAACCACAACTCGCCCCTAAAAGTTTGGGCATGACCACTTCAGTAACGGACACTTAACCTGTTATATATATATCATATGGGGCCTGGACAGAAGCATTAAATATCAAAATTTGACAATAGAAACAAACTCCATTGAGCTACTATTATCATGCCAGGATCATAAACTTTTAAGAGACAAACAAAATCTAAAACATACACCTGAACATCGGTTATATACATACATATATACAGGCCCAGCCCTGTAATTGGGCATATATCAAAAACATTAGAGAACGAATAATCTAATTACCAAAATAGGCCTTAAAAATAGACCCCTAATGAGCACATATTGTGCGCGCCATATCCTTGATATATATATTCTTCATAGAAATGGTATAAACCTTATCTAAAAGTTTAGATGGATCCTCAAATGCGAAGATTCACAAAACATGATAATTAATGAAACTAAAATTAAAAAAAATTGAACACTTGTAGTTTTATGCATTTGAGAAATTATGAACTAAAAAACTAATTGTAATAGCATTGGGGCATAAGTTTTGACATTTTCAGTGTGTGCACAAAGGAAGAATGAATATTTGGGATTCAAATGTTAAAGAGTTGACTCACGTGTTGGCAACTTGGCATGCTTTTATGCGTCATCACCACGGTTTTACCAAGTTGTCTCTCACATTTGTTCAAGAATATTCAGCTTATTTAATTTGAATTTTTAGGATTCATTTTTTAAAAATATATATATTTTTATATTTTTAATTATAACTCAAAAAATATAAAATTATACCATTTTTTTTATTTTCCTTTAATAAAAATAAATAAAATTTACTTCATAAATCTGTAAAAAAAATACCGTTAATATATTATTGCATCTCCAACGCTATTAGATATTTTACCTATCCAAAAGTTACTATAAAATATATATAACTTTTATTCTACCTATCAATTTTTTCATGTTACTATTCCAATTCTACTCTTTATTTTTAGCTATTCATCAAAATACTATTAATTTTATAAATTACCATATCAACAATAAAGATAAAAGAAAATAAGCATAAAAATTAAATACATTTTATCTAATCTTTAAAAACTAAGTACATGTAACAAATGTAAATTAAAATCAAAATATCAAATCATATGTTTGATGCGGCGAGTTGAAAAAAAAGTAAATTAAACATTGTACCTAATTTGTTTGGGGGTAGTGCAGAGTTCAATCAAGTCAAACACACTTGAATATATTTTCAATTTATGGGACAAAAACATAGAATGTGAGCGCATACGTCATGAGATGACTCAAACATCACGCATGTCGCAAAACCCACTAACTAAAGAATTAATTTGCCTTTTTTTCGAGCTAAAAAAATATCGCAATTTATCAAATGAGAACGCAACAAAGTCGGACGCGGCAAAGATAAAAGTAGGTCTCAAGGATAAGCATTCTCACAGTAACACAACCGCCCCACTCCTATCTTGCCAAAAAACAAACATTAAAAAAAATTTATGAATTTTGCTTTTTCTTTTTTTAATTAAGTATAATATAATATTGATTTAAATTTAATATTACGAGCTCATTTGAAAAGTTAGGTTGGAAACTTTTTTGGCTAAAATAGTCAAAAAAATAAATAAATAGGCTTTTTAATTTAATAAGACAAAACATCACAACCAACTCATAATCATTACATTCTTTTTCTTACAAAGTCAAAAAAATTTATCCCAAACGAGACTTTTTAACCTCAGACTAAAGTAGGCAAAAAGCTAACCCACTTCCCAAACGAACCCTATATAAATTACACTCGGAGTAAATTTATGCTCCACTTGTTTAAGTGGAAACATATTTTGAAAGAAAACTTGACGTTTGGTACAATAAAAAATACAAATTACTAGAAAATAATTTTCATAGTCAATAAAAAATAATTTTGTTTCGGTATTTTCTACTTTCAAAAGGCTAAAAATAGTTTTTGAACTAAAATTACCATATTACCACTACCATCCTCACCACCAACACCACCACCATAGTTACCGCTAGTCCACCACTATTATCATTGCCACCACCCCACCACCACATGCACCTCCATCTTCATCCCACTGCCACCCCTACCAAACATAGATTTGGAAAATATTTTCCGTAAAAAATATGTTTTGTTAGAAAATAATTTTCACCCAAACAAATGAATCGTTAGTTTATATATTTTATTTGTGAGTAATTTTTAAGTGCCTATATAAAGTTGTAATTAGCTTAAACTGAACCATGGCTAATACTTGTCAGGATCGGATTGAGGATATGGTGTAATTGTTTAATTTTTTACTTGTATAAATATTTTGAAAAGTAGGTTAAAAATTAACTTTTTAATTTTTTTTTTTAAAAAAATAAATAAATAAAGAGATGATATGACGTAACTCAAAAAAATAAAAAAATAAAAAAATAAACTTTTAATCTAATTACCAAAATAGGCCTTAAAAATAGACCCCTAATGAGCACATATTGTGCGCGCCATATCCTTGGATTGAGACTAGGGGGTGGTTTGGAATGATCTAAATAAGTGTACTTTTTGACTTTTTATGAAATATGAGTTGGATATGGGTTGGGTTTGAAGTGATGTGATAGAGAGATGATGCGACTTAAATAAGATGATATGACTTAAATAGGATAGTGACTTTTTAACTTTTCGACTTTTTTAAGGGATGCCAGTAACAAAACAGGAGAGGTACATGCTCCTCAATTTTTGAGAAATTACATTTTAACTAAAATTTTGAAATGTTTTTAATCTTTTCTTCTAAAATTATTTATTTATAATTTCTTTTATTCTTTGTCCAACAAACTCAAGTCATCATTAATTAAAACATTGACATTAATTTCACTCCTTATTTAATACTATTCTTGCATAATACTCAACTAAAATGATATTTTTTAAATAAAAATTTTGCTTTGACAAGTCTTTTACTTTGAGATAATCAATGTATTCGGTTTAAATTTTTTGAATTAAGTTTTTTGAAAATTGAATTTTTTAATTTTCATATTTTTTTGTTTTTAGGAAATATTTTTAAAATTTTAAACATTTTTTTTCACTTTTTTAGATGCACCTTACTTAGATGTATCTAAAAAGTAAAAATTTTATAAAAAAATATTTTAAAAAATTAATAAATACATAAAAATACAAAAAATGTATTGAATTATTATATTTTTTTTATATTTTTAGTATTTAGTGATTTTTTAAAAGATTTTTTTTACAATTTTTTTACTTTTTAGGTATTTTTATGTTTGGTGTGTCTAAAAAGTAAAAAAATTGCTTAAAATATTAAAAAAATTCAGCAAAAATAAAAAAACATGAAAAATAAGAAAGTAAATTTTTTTGAAAAATATTTTTTGAAAAATGAAAGCAAGCAAGTAGAATGAGACTCAAATCTACCCTAGAATTATTTTATGTTTATAATAATAGTAATATGAACTTGGTGAGAAGGTAATCCGCAAGTGTAACCAGCAAGCAAAGCCATTGTTGTCGTATTTGTAAAGGCTGTGCTTTCCACACAAGTCTCTCAAGTCTCCCTCTTTCGGGTGTAAAAATGAAGTGGGGCCTCCAAGGATTGGCTCCTTCTGGGCCACTTTTGTTTTTACTTTCATAGCTGTGACCCATAAATAGGAAGATTAAAGAGTCCTTTGAAAAAAAAAAAAAAAGGGGAAAAAAAAATTTGCTAAGTACTGCTAAAGTGAAAAAATATATATTGAGTCCTATCCCACTTGATGTTACGGACCAATAAAAAATTACAAATAGGTGAAAAGTCCGACTCTCACTAATTCAACAATGTTGTGACCTTTACTGTAAATTGAGATTATTTTATAATACCATAAAGTGATTATATCCAATATTTACTTGCTAAAGTGAATGTTTTATATGAATTAGTATTTTTTGAGCACTTAAGTCAAAGGTTCATTTTTGAAATTGTTGGACCAATAAGTCCAATCTTAAATCTTTTCTGAGTCGAAAGGACATGCTATCTATTCAAATATACATATTTGTAAATGTGTCGCCTATTTGTCTAACTATTTGTTCAAATGTCCCATTATCTATACATATATCATCTATCTATTCACATATTTGTTCAATATCACCTATCTGTTTAACTCACTGCCACCATCCGCCAATGATTTTTGGACGACTTTTCAACGCGTGTTGCCACCAAATAAGATTAATCCTTGAACCGAATGACTAACCCACCCATCAACTTGGATTGACTGACAATTTTTCCTAATTTTTTTAGCGCACTTCGAATTATTTATATAAAAAAATAATATTGATCAAACATTAGATTATATCACATTTATTTATATAAATACAAATATGTTATTCAATTATGAAGCTGCTCATATTTGATCAATCTACTTTTTTTGCATGCTTAATCTACATAACGAGTACTAAAATGTGCAATTTAGATAACTAAGTGGGTGGGGATTGGTCCACAACTGGACTCAGTAGTTTAATTACTGAAAGCCTCACCTAAGAAGAAAAACTTGATGCTCTCTAGTGATGAATTGGAAAAAGTTCTATTAGCTCAGTATCACCGGTGTTGAAATTATGAACACTTTGTCCGAATAAAAAGAACAAGAACAAGAATAAAAACAAAAACAAAAACAAAATTAAAATTATGACTTTCATTACAAGGCAGTGTAGAACTTACCGTTACAAGTTTGCCATCAACATTGCTCGGATCTTGGCTCTGAGATCATCAGAAACCTCGGTAACTTCAGAGGGTTGAGAAGGAGCTCTCCCGCCTTGATATGAGCTCGATAAATCCAGAGAAGCTTCTCTACTAACACCACCACCCACACTTCCTCCTCTTGATCGGTCTGAGATTTTAGAACTAATCTCCCCTTCCTCAAGCTCTTCATCTGAGTGAGAGATCTTCCTATGCTTATCAGAACTACTATAATGAACGCCATCGTCATCAGACGAGCTCTCACGCTTGCGCCGGTATCGAGATTCTGTGTTCTTGGAAGAAGAACGTCGTTCTTTGTGCTCAAGCCTGTCCCTACTGTGACGTGAAGAACGGTGAGATCTGTGCTTCTTTCTTGAGTGGTTGTGATGCGATTCTTCTTCAGAAACTTCTACCTCGCGTGATGAATGATAAGAACGGTGCTCTTTCCGAGAACGTTTGTGATCCCTTTCATCTTCATCATCATCATCATCATCATCTTCTTCTCCATCTTCTTCATAAGACCAGTGTTTTTTCCTAGGGTGTTTGTGATCCCTTTTGTCTTCATCTTCTTCTTCATAAGACCGGTGTTTTTTCCGAGAGTGTCTGTGATCCCTTTTGTCTTCATCTTCTTCTTCATAAGACCGGTGTTTTTTCCGAGAGTGTCTGTGATCCCTTTTGTCTTCATCTTCTTCTTCATAAGACCGGTGTTTTTTCCGAGAGTGTCTGTGATCCCTTTTGTCTTCATCTTCTTCTTCATAAGACCGGTGTTTTTTCCGAGAGTGTCTGTGATCCCTTTTGTCTTCATCTTCTTCTTCATAAGACCGGTGTTTTTTCCGAGAGTGTCTGTGATCCCTTTTGTCTTCATCTTCTTCTTCATAAGACCGGTGTTTTTTCCGAGAGTGTCTGTGATCCCTTTTGTCTTCATCTTCTTCTTCATAAGACCGGTGTTTTTTCCGAGAGTGTCTGTGATCCCTTTTGTCTTCATCTTCTTCTTCATAAGACCGGTGTTTTTTCCGAGAGTGTCTGTGATCCCTTTTGTCTTCATCTTCTTCTTCATAAGACCGGTGTTTTTTCCGAGAGTGTCTGTGATCCCTTTTGTCTTCATCTTCTTCTTCATAAGACCGGTGTTTTTTCCGAGAGTGTCTGTGATCCCTTTTGTCTTCATCTTCTTCTTCATAAGACCGGTGTTTTTTCCGAGAGTGTCTGTGATCCCTTTTGTCTTCATCTTCTTCTTCATAAGACCGGTGTTTTTTCCGAGAGTGTCTGTGATCCCTTTTGTCTTCATCTTCTTCTTCATAAGACCGGTGTTTTTTCCGAGAGTGTCTGTGATCCCTTTTGTCTTCATCTTCTTCTTCATAAGACCGGTGTTTTTTCCGAGAGTGTCTGTGATCCCTTTTGTCTTCATCTTCTTCTTCATAAGACCGGTGTTTTTTCCGAGAGTCTTCCCTCAGTGTAAGACCTCAATGATCTCGTTCTCTCAGACTTGGAGTAACGAGTTCTGGAAGTCCTTAATTGAGTGTCGCCTGTTTTGAGGCTCCTACTCTCTGCTTGCGACGGCGTGGTATGCCTACCACGATCTTCAGAGTGGCGAGGGGGCGTATTGCCTTTGTGCCCCTCTCCTGTCGCCACTCCTTTCCTTTTTATCTGGCGCTTCATCAATTCCATGTCCGCGGCCATTCTCCTGATTAACTCGTCCTGCTCCTTTACCCGGTCTTCCAAAATTTGAGGGTCGATCCCCCGCCTCTGTTTATCGGGACTTGATGTGCGACGGGGGCTGTTACCCCGCCTTCCCCTTGTATCCCTCCGGGGATTCTGTCGCTGGGGCTCCAGATCTGCCATAGGAGGGATGGAAGGCAAACCTTCGCGCCTCCCGCCTCCCACCTCCCTCTGGAGTTTTCCCGTCAATGGCAGACTGCGGCAAATCTTTATTGTGCGTCATTATGTCTAATTTAGCAAGGAAAACTTTGATCAAGAGGTTTTGTTCTTTCTGTGATTCCCACAGACGGCGTCAATTGTACGGGAAAGAAATAAACCTTCTCGTATAATCCTGTTGATCAAGTCTGCGCTCCTCCGTACGACGTCGCTTTACTCCCTGAAAACACAAACGTGAGCTAGCCAGCGGGTGTGCGCCGGATACCTCTCTGATGCCTATGTCAGCAAAATAGACAAATAGACAAAAAGCTCTGTATATTCGGGAATCAAAGTTATGTTACCTCTCCATAGGTGATGTTATGAGCTTTTATAGGTTCCGTGTGGCACAATTTTAGTAGGACTCTTACTCTTTCATGTAGAGTCCTCCTAGGAATCACATTCCTGAAAGATAATGCTTATCCTTCAACACCCCCCTCACTGCTTAAACCATGTGAGATGGTTTTACCCTGGTTGGATGTCAATACGACCGGGATGACATGGCCACGCTAAAGCCGCAGACTAGACCAAGCTCCCTCTAGCTCGGTTCTTCCTTTCACTGCGTGTATCTCGGTTTGACATATTCTAACTGTGGATCAAATAGTGAGATATTATTTTGAAATCTCAAACATTTTTCATTGTCATATATATGTTCTACATTGTGTGAAAATCATATGTACCCTGAAATTTACTCATTTATTAATTATATTTATATATAATTTAGTTTTTAAAATTTAATAAAATTAAAACACCAAAATACTATACTACTTGATCCGTAATTAAGAAGTGGGACAAGTATGAGTTTCCTTACTCTATCCTATCTAGATTATAGTTATTAACTTTATTTATATAAAATTTAATTTTTAAAAATATGTTAAGAGCATCTCTAACGGTAGTAGGCATTTTACCTATTTAAATATTATTATAAAGTATATATTTTATTTTGCTTATCAACTGTTTTATATTTTTACTCTAACCATGCTCTTTATTTTAGCTATTTATCCAAATGCTATTAATTTTATAGAATGTCACGTCAACAACAAAGATGGTGGGAAATGATCCTAATGATTGAATATATTTTGCCTAGCGTTGAAGGCTAGCTACATGTAACTAGTGAATATGAGTTGAGCCAAAATGCCTAATCCTATGCCTAGTGCATTGGAATTGAAAAAAGTGAATCACACTAAGCATTTTAACTAACAAGTATTGTATGCCTGGTGCATTGGAGATGCTCTAAGATTAAAACACCAAAATACTATACTTCTTACTCATTTTCACTTATTTATTTATCATCATATATTTTTTTAACTTAATCAATTTTAAATCATTATCCATATTTCATTATATCATCTTTTATTTTTAATAGCAGCGTGATTACTAAATTATAAAGAATTCGTTTGGAATGTAGGTTGATTTTTAACTTTTTAACTATTTTAGCTTGGGACTAAAAAGTCTCGTTTGAGATAGACTTTTTAATTTTTTTAATTTTTATGAGTAAAAAATAAAATAATTATGGGCTAGATGTGACATTCTATCTTATTTGACTAAAATAATTTATTTTGTCTTATATGATTATTTTAACTCAAATCTTCTTCCCATACAAGCTCAAAATTAATCTATTCCATTCTCCTCCTGCCACCCCCTCTTCCACTTGCCTCATTATTCCAGACGAGAATAAGTCACCACAAACCTCTGCATCATGCAACGATGGATAGAGGAGGGTATGGAGTGGGGTGACCGTACCTTAATTTTTTTTAAAATATTATATATTATACTAAATTTTTTAAAATAATTAAAAATTATAATGATTTGCAATTTTAAATATATACTTTCACACCCCCAAAATA